TGATGAAAGTCCAGTGAAGTGGAATTTACCAAGATTATGGGGTATGTCTATTATATTGGGTATCATCTTAGCTGTTGGATCGTGGATCTGTTTGTCGACTATGTTCTTGCCCAGGGGTGGTATTATTCAGAACTTTGGATCTATTGATGGTGTGATGTTCTTGCAAATTTCTCTTACTGAAAACTGGTTGATTTTTATCACTCGTGCCAATGGACCATTCTGGTCATCAGCTCCATCGTGGCAATTGGCTGGTGCAGTCTTTATTGTTGATNTTATTTCTACCTGTTTCACTCTTTTCGGATGGTGGTCTCAAAACTGGACCGATGTTGTGACAGTTGTCAGAGTGTGGATCTGGTCGTTTGGTGTGTTCTGTGTTATGGGAGGTACTTATGTTTTGATGTCTGAGTCCAGATCATTTGATAGATTCATGAATGGTAAGCCATTGAAAGAACAACCACCTCAAAGATCAGTTGAAGATTTCCTTGTTGCCATGCAAAGAGTATCCACTCAACACGAAAAATCCGGTTAATTTTTTTTTTTATCATTATTATTTTCTATTAGTTTTCCTAGTACTCTGCCTTTTACCCTTTTTTTTGTGATTGGTTTTTATTTTTGTTTGCTCTGTTTTTGTTTGGTGTTTTTTTATTTGAATTCCAATTCCAATGTAAACAGGCGTTTTTTGATGTTTTTTTCTGTTATTAAGGGCCATTTGAGGGTTTCAATTCGTTTTTAATAATTAATTTTCAAAATTTAATAGATATTTTTACTTATATTCGTTTATATAAAAGCTGACAAAACAAAATAATTCAAAATAAATTTTTTATTCTTTTAAACAATATACAAAATGATTAAAATAAAAACAAACAAAAACAGTAAACAAAACATTAACTAAAAATATATACATGTTTTCTGATTATATTTATACATGCTAATATAAAAAGCTGAACCATCCTTGTTTCCTTTTTTCTCTAATTTCTTTGGATACAAATGCATCAACATGATTCTTGATATGTTCGGCCATAGTTTCTTCAGTGTAATTCCTACCTAAAGCATCAATGAATTCACCATCTTTATCCATTAAATAAAAGTAGATTGAATGATCAACTAAATAATCTTGGCCAGGTTTGAGGTCAGGAGGAGTTGAAAAGTAAACTCTATAGGCTTTGCAAATATTCTTAATATCTTCATAAGGCCCAGTTAAGCCAATAATATCTTTATGGAATTCATATAAATATTCTTTTAGTATTTCAGGAGAATCTCTTGCAGGATCACAAGTAATAAAAATTGGTTGTATATCAATATTGTATTTAGATTTCAAGATATCCAAACAGGCAGACATTTTATCCAACTCGTCAGGACAGATATCAGGACAATGAGTGAATCCAAAATAAACCAAAGAAAATTTGTTCAACAAGTTATCACTTGAAAAAGGGTTTCCATCTTGATCAATTAGATTGAATGGGCCTCCAATTAGTGGTTTGCCATAACCACGATTCGATTCTTCGTTACGCTGAAGATCCATTTTTTCTTTTTGATATCTAAAGAAAAAGTATAGTCCAGTTCCTAATGTCACAAATAAAATACCAGCTTTCCAGGAAGAAAATTCAATAGTATCAGATGCACGTCTGAATCGAGCATTGTCTGTGCTGCTGCCAATTGTGACTCGACTTAATGGCTTTCTTTTTTGGGAGGAAGGAACGTAGTATCTCGAGCCTTCGTCCTTCTTTTTAGAAGCAGAAGACTCGCCATCCGATGGTTCTGGGGATTGTTCTTGATAGCATTTTGAGCTGATGGAAAACTTCCTTGCATTTTGGGCTGAGAGGTAGGAGGAAGGTAAAACATGGGGAGTTTTGAAAACAGGCTGCAATCCCACCAATAAACGCTTAGAGACTCTGTTAGCCAACATCCTTTCCTCTGTGAGCAGATATAACACCAACAAACCAGCTTTTCCAGAAAGTGTCGAAAACCTCAGTGCTAGCAATGAACTGGAAGAAGGAACAAAATCAAACAAAGTTGATTCACCTCGTTTTTCGAGCTTTGAGTAAAGCCCGTGGATCTTGTGACTTTATTTTTACGTTATTTTACATTATCAGAGGATGTTTATTCGGCTTTATATAGAGAATGTATAGAAGAGAAAAAAAAATCGTAATTAAAGTGAAGTGAAATGGTTTTTGGCTTATAGCTTCAATTTTTCCAAGTTGGCAATTGTAGCTTCCAAACTTTCGATATCAGCTTTGGCCTTTTCGAATCTTTCAGTGTCGTTTTGTTTGGCTCTTTCAGAGGCCTTTGCGTTGTAGTCCTTGCCATCCATGATCTTTTCAACAGAGGTCTTAATAGCAATTGATTTGTCTAATTTCTTTTGGAATTTTTTGATTTCCTGGTCAATGTCTATCTGGCCCTTGAGCAACACATGAGTATTGATTTCAGAACTGGCAGCCTGCAAAATACAGCCTGCAGGTATGTCACTGATTGACTCGACGACCTTGATCTGCTCAACAGCTTTAATCAACGATACAATCAATTCCTGTTGCTGGTGGACAATATCAAATGTTTCTTTGGTGCTGCATTCCACAAACACAGTACCATGCTTGGAAATATTGTATTGCGATAGCAACGATCTAATAGCCTTCGTGGTATCTAGAATCATTTCATAGTCTTCTTCTTCTTCAATGAACTCCAAATCCTTTGAGTACTCTGGGAATTTGGAAACAACAATTGATGGGGTAGTGTCGTTAGCTCTTCTTGGTAATCTTTGCCACATTTCTTCGGTGACATATGGCATGAATGGGTGTAATAATTTCAATCCTGATTCAATACACGTATACAATGTATTTCTAGCAGACTGTTTTTGTTCGGGAGTACCTTCTAAAATAAGATACTTGGAGTTTTCAATGTAAACGTCGCACAATTCATTAAGGAAAAATAAATAAAATGAGTTTGTTGCATCCATAAATTGTCGGTTTTCCAAGCCTTCATTAATTTTCTTTGAAGCTTGGTTCAATTTATTCAATATCCATTTTTCAACTAACGATTCGTTACCGGTTGGTTTATTGGTTTCTTCTGGCTTGAAGTCATCACCCAATCTCATTAATGCAAATTTTGTAGCTTGATAAATCTTGTTACAAAACTTCCTGTAACCTTCAACTCTAAGAATATCCAAATTAATATCTTTGGCACCAGTGCTGTAGTTACATAAGGCAAATCTTAGAGCGTCAGTACCACATTCTGCAATACCATTTGGATAAGAATCTTTTTGGCCCTTTTTAGCTATTTCGATTTCTCTGGGATCCAAGTTACCCAAAGTCAATTGTTTATTCAATTCTTCAAGAGATATGCCTTTGATAACATCTAAAGGATCAACGACATTACCTAACGATTTTGACATCTTTCTACCCTGAGCATCACGAACTAAAGAATGGCAGTAAACTTCTTTAAATGGAACGTTGTCTGTTAGCTCAATACCTAATAAAATCATTCTTAAAACCCAATTGAAAATAATATCCCAGCCGGTTTCTAATAGATTAAAGGGATAGAATCTTTGCATATCAATAGAGTTTTTGGGCCAGCCTAAAGTAGCAAAAGGCCATAAACCGGAAGAAAACCAAGTATCCAAGACATCTTCATCTTGTTCTAGAGTATATTTCTTATCTGAGAATTTAACCTTGGCTTTTTCCTCAGCTTCTTCCAAGTTCCTTGCCACAATCCAGTAACGACCATCACCAGAATCATGAAACTCACCTTCAATGTTGACAAAATAAGCTGGGCATCTGTGGCCCCACCATAACTGTCTTGAAATACACCAATCATGCAAGTTATTACACCAGGCAAAGAAATCGTTTTCAGCAAATTTAGGAGTTATTTGAATTTTTCCAGATTTGACTGCTTCGGCGGCATTATGGGCCATAGTGGATTGAGAAACCCACCATTGAGGTTTCATGTATGGTTCTAAAATATCACCAGATCTTGAACAAGTTGGTATAACCATTTCATTGTCATTTTGACCGATATATAAACCCTTTTCTTTTAAAGCTTCAATGACGTTTTTTCTTGCATCGAATCTTTTCATACCAGCCCAAGTGCCACAATTCTCATTTAGTTTACCATCTTCAGTCATTATGTTAATAAAATCCAACTTGTTTCTTTTACCGGTTTCGTAATCGTTAGTGTCATGAGCTGGAGTAATTTTTACAGCACCAGTACCAAATTCCATATCAACGGCTACGGGATCAGTGATGATTGGGAATTTTCGATCAAGGAAAGGGTGTTGAACAAACTTGCCATGCAAATGTTTATAACGAGGGTCGTCAGGATGAACAGCAACGGCGGTATCACCAAACAAAGTCTCGGGTCTGGTGGTCGCAACAACGATTTTCTCGTCTGAATCAACAATTGGGTAAGCAAAAGAAGTGATTACGCCAAATTCTACCTTTTCAGTGTAACCAGGAACTTTCAATAGAGTTCTTGAGGGAATATTTTTATTTTCAATTTCAGAATTAGAAGTTGCAGTTTCTAAATGAACACACCAATTGACCAATTTGTTTTCTCTATAAACAATACCTTTATCGTATAATTGAACAAAGGCTTCAATGACAGCTTCTGATAAATTTGGGTCCATAGTGAAGGCTTCTCTCGACCAATCATAAGAGGCACCTAATTTTTTAACTTGATTTTTAATCTTTTGATGATAAATTTCTTTCCATTCCCAGACTTTTTCAACAAATTTTTCTCTACCTAAATCTTTTCTATAGATGTTTTGTTTAGCCAAATTTTTTTCAACAACGGTTTGAGTAGCAATACCGGCATGATCAAAGCCTGGCAACCATAAAGTGGTTTTGCCTTTCATTCTGTAGAATCTAGTCAAAGTGTCTTGAATTGCGACAGTTAAAGCATGTCCAATATGCAAAGCACCTGTAACATTTGGAGGAGGAGCAGGAATACCGAAAAATCCTTCAGGCTTGATTTGGCCATCTTCAGTCAATTGAGGTTTAAAAAATCCTTGAGCATCCCACCATTCATACCAAGATTTCTCGACATTTGTTGGAGAGTAAGATTTGAAGGATGGATGGTCTAAAGGAGGCAAGATTTTCTTTTCACCTGGTTTATTTTCAGGAAAATATTCTGGAACAGCGTCAGTTTCTTTTTTGGGGGCAGTGGCTTGATTTTTTTGATTCTGGTCCTGGGTTTTTGATTTCTGAGATGGTTGATTTTGGTTTTGTTTTTGCTTTTTGGCTAAAAATTTGGCCATCTTTTCAGCTTTTTTTTTTTCCTTTTCAATTTGTTTTGGAGTCTTAGGCGATCCATCAGGATTTAGTGGATTGATTTGAATTTCAGAGGAACTCATGTTTGAGTAAAACTTTGCTTTGGATAAGGTATTTAAGTGAAATGAATTGAAGTTGGCAGGAAATTTGCAAATATTAAAAGAGTGTGAGAAATGAGATGGGCTTCTAATAGTTGACCAATTTAGAATTGAGCTCTTGTATAATATCCTTTGAGTTGAGATAAGGGGCATGAAGTTCAGAGAAGATGGAAAGAAATAAAAGCAGATTGGGCCTAAACCTCAGTGGAAAAAAGTTTCCAAAAGATAACGTTTTGGTGTTTTTGAGCTTTTGTGAAAAATTTCAATGAGTCATTGCCTGAAACGGAAGCTACCGTTTTGGGCCGTTGCTGCCACGCTGTCTATATGCATTATAACGCAGAAAGCGCATGATCCGCAGAAGCTGCAGAAGCTGCAGAAGCTGCAGAATAGTGCGCTGTTTGGAAATATTGTCAATTACGCTAAAAAACAAAAAGGGACCAAAAGTACCAAACACTTTTAAACAAAAGAGACATATACAAACGTATATAAAAAAGGACATAAAATAAAGAAAAGCTAACTATACCGAACCAATCACAAAACCCAGAAGCAGAAGCACAAATAACTAAAACCCACTGAGAGATTTCTTATGGCCCAATTTCAAAGCTGTGAACGTTGTAGGGCTGATGATAGTGTCATCGTTGTCGTTTGCAGCAGGGCTATTCATGTTGTCTGATGGAGAGACAACCAGCTCTCTTCTTCCCTCTTCGGAGGGAGCAGTGGTTTTGATGATGGGTCTGTGTCTTCTATGGGAGCTCTTTTGTCTGTTGATTGCTGGATTTATTTTTAATTTTGCAAATGATTTTTTGTTAGAATTCGGTTGAATATTTTCATTTTGAGTAGTATCACTGATGTTATTTTGGTTTTGAGTATTGTTTATATTTTTAGTTGGTTGGTTATCGTTATCGATAACGTTGGTGTTTTCATTCAAGGGTTTTTCATTTGAATGAAAAAGTTTCAAAGAAGGTTCATAAGTGCCTTCTAATAGTTTTTCCTCTTCATTGTTATTATTAAGATTATCATCTAGATTCTCATCTGGATTATTATCAGGATTGATATCAGGATTATTGATATGATTAGGATTATTAATATTAGTAGGATTATTAATATTATTATTGTTCAGTAAATCAGGGATTGGATTGATATCTTTGTTCGATTCGATTAGAGGAGCAGAAGATCTAGCATTGAGGGTGTTTGGTATGGTAGATTTAGTTTTATCATTAACATTAACATTAACATTATTAACATCATTATTATCGTTATTATCAAGACTTTCATTATAGTTAAAACTATCATTTAGTAAATCATTTTCCAAATGATTTTCTAAACCCCTTTCTGAACCCTTTTCTAAATTTGTTAATGGGACAGAACCAGTTCTATGCAATTTTTTAATTACAAATTCACCCTTTTCATGTTCTGGAATTAAATCTTCAGAGACAAGTGAGGATTGTTTAATTTTATCATTTAAATCATCAATTTGAAGTTCATTATATTGTATATCGAATTTTTCCTTTAGATTTTTTAGTTTTAATTCTCTTTTGTCGATCTCTTCTTTAAATTTCAATTGATCCTTTTTAAAGGATTTTTTGTCATCGTTATTAATAGTGTTGCTGGTTGATAGTTTGTTTGACCATAACAATTGATTTTTGAATAATAAAATCTTTAAATTTTTGTAATCCTTTTGAAAATTGATTAGATGGTAAGAGTATTCCTTTTTGAATAGTTTGATGGTTGGTAAGAAGGAGGAAATTGTGAATTTTAATTCTTTGTGTTTATTCAATAGCTTTTTGAAATTGAAGTTCAAAGTATCGTAATCCTTGATTAAATTTGAGTTTGTTTGAAGGAGATTGTTATTTTGAGAATTGATTTTATTGTAGTTGAATACGAGGTTGTTTTTGTCAATTTTTAAGGTTTTGAATTGGTCGTTATCGATGGAGATTTTTTTCTCTAGTTCTTCTAGTTTCTTGGAAGATTGGTTTATGATTACATCCTTTGCATTGTTTTCTTCGTTGATTCTTTTGATTTTTTCTAGATTTTTGTTCAATTCTTGGTCTTTTAGGATTAGTTTTGAGTTTAATTTGTTAACCTCACTTTGCAAGTTGTTGATATCGGACATGAGAGAGATGATATTTGAGTTTTTAATTGCTATTATTTCATTGTTTTTTTTTATATCATCAGATAGTTTTAGACATTTTTCCTCAATGGATTTAACTTTTTCAATTGAGGATTCGTTGGTTTGTTTGAAATCATCTTGTAAAATATCATATTTTAGTTTATTATCATTTCTGATTTTGGCTTCTCTTGCAATGAATAAGAGAAGCATTAGTGATAAACAAAGTAAAAACTCTTCCATTTTTATTAATTATTAAATATTAATTATTAGATGCTGGATATTAGTTATTAGTTGTGAGTTATTAATTATGAACTATTATGAGCTATTATGAGTTATATATGATACAAATGGGCTGAGATTTGAGGAGTTGTCCTTGATGGGATGTGTTTAAGACTGAGTCTGATGAGTATCGTTAGTCTTATCGGATCTGATCTGAGTTGATCTGATGGTTTATAAGCTGTCAATCGAGCGAAGATCAAACACAAGCTTCTCAATGAACAAATACCAGGAAGCACTGTAGGACTAGCTATCAGAAGCAGTGGAGGAACTGGCAGCAAAACGAGTACCAAAACCAATATCAAAGCAAAACCAGCAGAGATGCAATTGCTGAATTGCAGCTCCAGAAAGAGCGAAGAAAAGGGACAAATATAACTGAGGCCACATCCAACGGCCAATTTCACCACAGCAGGAACACCGTCTCCCGCGCAGCAGAGTCGCGTCGCACCTGCAGCCGCTGCAGCGTAAACAATGTCCTGCCGAGGTGGTATGCGTCGTCAAGCGCGGTAGGGTATCCCGCTCGGCCCGGCGTCTATGTCTGAGCGCAGTCATATGCGTGTGTTTGCAGACGTGCCGGTTGGACAGGTGTTACACGTACTGCTCACGTGTGCTTTTACGCGGTGTTGGCGCTGCACGGCGCGATGAGGTGATCGAGCCAGTGGGAAGGAAGCGGAGTAGATTGGGAGCAAAACATAGAAAAGACAACATAGAGTAGAAGTGAAGTAAATAAAATAAACGGCGAAATATCAAGTTAAAAACCCAGGTGAGATCAAACAGAATAAGCTTAACATGAAAAGAAAATAATTGAAAAAAAAATACAAAAACCATCAGAAATGAACAGAAGCGTCATCAGACCATATTTTACATAATAATTCTCTCTGATTCAACATTCTCAGAAATCGTTTTGTGAGGCAACACTTTACCACCATTAACATATATCTCATCTTTAACTTTGACATCATCTCCCAAAAC